CATAAATACACTAAATATTTTTAATGTTGTTGTTGTTGTATACATAAATACACTAAATATTTTTAATATATATAAATTTCCCGAAAATTTATCTTATCAAGGGAAACGCAGTCGCAAATAATGAGATTTTTTTTGCAGCTCTCTCTCCTATCGTTCTCTCTCTCTCCCTCGCTGTCTAATCCTTTAAATGTAAACTAGTTCATGTACGAGGGCAGGGAATCGATGATCGGAAACAGCCGGCGTTTGCTGGTGTGGCATCATCAAGATTCTCACACAGCAGCAGGATCCAGACCTTCACTCCCTCTTCCAGTGAGAATCTTGATGATGCTGCATCGGCAATGGGCGGCTATATCTGATATCTGTTCTTCTCTTTGAAGCTAGAAGAACAGTTTGATTCTATTCAGGTATGTTCAAATCCTTTTGTTTTTTTCTTCATTTCTTGTGAGTAGATGATATATATTGTGATCCAGTGATTTTGCATAGATTATTCTCTTTGCCATATAATTTATGGATTTTTTGGCCGTCTTTAGGCATTCAGAAAGAAATTGAAAAGAGAAGATTCCTACTTTGTTTTGGCTTCTTTGCATGATTCCTAGATCAGTTCCTTTTCTCAATAATCCAAGAACTTGTTTTTGTTCAAGTTGCAGAATCTGATAAATGTATCGATCATCAGGATTACGCAGCTCAGTTGATCTATTGATTTGGAGCTTTAACTATCAATCATAGAACAGTTTGCACTTTTTCTGTTTGTTTTAAAGTTCTCCCTTAAGCTCTTTTAAAAAATCCCTTGATGTTCATTCTTCAACATAACATAAACCTATTAGTTACTGAAAAAAGATACTATATTAGTTAACAGATTTACTTATATAGCTATTCTAGATCTTAGAAGGCGATTTTGAAATACATAAGAGCTCCAGGGTTCTTATTTATAGGTTTTTATCTTAAGAAGTAGAAACTATATGACCAATTAAAAAGCAAGCAATATTAATTAGATCATCTTCAACCGAACTGCATAATATACGATGGTATGCCATCCGCTATTCGCTCCATTCGAACGCTAGATTGCACGCCGAAATTCGGTAGGTGAACAATGCGATGCCAATTTTGGCGTCGCACTGGTCACCCACGTACGCCAATTTTTTCTGTTACGAGATTTGCCGAAGAAGCACGTGAAAGAGGAGATAGATGGTTAGCAGCGAGATGAAGAAGCACGTGAAAAAGGAGAAAGAAATAGAGTTCGATTGGAGATGAATTACTGCATTTTTAAGTTTTTTTACATTTTGGAATGAAAATTAATGGATTTTTCAGTTGGAGATGCCCTTAGTACATATGGGGAGATATAATGAGATAAACTCCTATAGATTCATTTTATTTATGATATGTATATTGTTTAAAGGTGATACATAAGAGTATTGGATTTATTCACATCTAAAAATTTATTGGTATAAAAGTATGAAGTGGTTAGTTCAGCTCATTTGCAGGATTAAGTTTTTGTGATTAAAAATGAAATTAATTATTAGGCCTAACTTTTACAATCCTTTGATTTACGCTCCCTAATAATATAATTGACAACGAAGAAATGAAATATAAATGTAAATGATAAAATAATTGAAGTGAAATTAGTACCCACTTAATTATTTTGTTGAGATGAAATTGAGGAAAATAATTTGCTTTCGTAGAGCCATTTCAGTTACTTTTAATTTTCTTTTCTAATGTGAAATAAAAAATATATTTGTTATTAATCTCATATGTTTATTATTTTAAAAAAATCATAAAGCAGTTCTCTTCCTCTTCCCATCCCTTATGATCAGGTTGAGTTTTGTGGACTGGCAGTTGAGAAAATAGAGGGGAGGCGGTATTTTGAAAATTTTAAAAATACTAAAAAGTTTAGTACTTTTTTTCGAATAAATTAATTTATTTTGCAAAAAAAGGGAGTAAATTAACACATTTAAATTTCATTTTAATTGTTTTTTAAATAAGAGAAGAAATGCTCCTAAACATGACCTAAGTTCAATTACCTATTAATTTCATGGGAGCCAAACACTCAACATAAAATTATTAAGTCCAATGCAATAGAATTTCTCCAATTCCTTCTAATTAATCAAACAAAACAGAAGTGTTCATCTTTCATGAAGCATCCTATATGTAGGGCTATCAAAATCCGGTCATGAGTCGGATTCGGATTTATCTCGGAATTGATTCGACACAAGCTGACCAGACCAGAATTCGCACGGGTCACTTTTTTTTTTAATCTGAAATCGACCCCCTTCTAACCCGGATCAATCCGACATGATCCGTCAACCCGGATCATCAACGGCAATGGCTATAGCGATTGTGGAGGGCGGCTGGCGGACGGCAAAGGGCGACTGGTAGACGGCAGAGGGCAGCAGACGCGACACAATGCGACGCGACACAATGCGACGAGTTGTCGGGCGACAGCGGACTCGACGCGAAAGGTCCAACGGACATGGGATGCGGTCTGGCGCGCGGTTTCTGGGTCAATTCCGGGTTGCTGGGTCAAATCGAATCCGACCTATTTTTTCAAACATATCGAATTAAGAAATCTGAACTCAACCCAGTTTGAAATTGGGTCGGGTCTAACCCTAAAACTTTCAGTCTTGTTTGAGTTGGATTTTCGTGTCGTGTCAAATATTATTGACACCCCTACCTATATGGAACTCTTTCCTTCACTTTATAAGGTACAACACTCTTTACTCCATAAAATTATTTTTCGCCATCCTTAAGAAAATAGAAATAGTTACTGCATATCTTTCAAGATCGTCTGTTGTTATCTTGAGTGTTAGCAGAGGTAAATTTTCCTTGCACCCATGAGGCCATGACAAATAAGTTTGGGTGGGCTATGATAATCATAGTTAATTTCGAAAGGTTGAATTGGATAAAGGTTTGGCTTTCTTCTCTTATTATTGCATTTATGTCCATCTTTCCAAAGATTATTTTAAACTTCTTCCTCACCTGAGGAATTATAATAAGAAGCATGTGTCCAATGTGGTGAGTGAGTCCCCATCCTACAGATAATTCTTAGGATATCTTTATAAATTGCATTACTCTTTCTATGACTTTTGTGAATAATATGAATGATGATTTGTTTTCTTTTTGTTTTCTGAGGAATTATAATAAGAAGCATGTGTCCAAGGTACTCTTTATTGTTTTCTTTTTTTGGTTTTTCTTTTTGCTTCTCCATTTTTGCAGGAAGATGGTGTTGAACGTCTATTTGATGATCTTCCTTTTTTGGCTGGCGTATGCTTACAGCCCTAGTAGTTTGTTTTGCATCTATTGTATTCTTAGGATGAGGAACCACAGACTCGCAGGTCTTTTTCTTTCCTTTTTGATTGTAGCTCGTTCGAGCAGTAGAGAGCTAGTGGTTCCTTTTAAGGACCATGTAATCGCAATTTTGATATTAACACGTAGACCCCTATGAGGATTTTAATTAAAAAAAAAATGAATGATGATGTGTTTGACAAACAAGATGATTGGGAACTAAATCATGTACATGCTGGGTGAAATTTATGCTTAGATAAATATGAAGTCGTCAAAGAACTATTTTACTATGATGGATCATTTGGAAAAGTTTAGATCAGAAATTAACGTTTTGTTTGGAATAGCTTTTTTGTTGCTTCTTGAAACAATTTTTTCGTACAAAAATTTTAATTTTTGTACTAAAAAGCTGTTTTAAGAAGCAGTAAGAAAGCCGTCCCAAATGAAACCTAAAAGCTGGGAATAACTCTCGTAGTTTGAATTCATATTGTATGAAGTATTTTTGTATTAAAAGTATATTGTTGGTGTTGTAAATTTTTTTTTTTTTGGCTTGTGTGAAGTGCTTCATTATGTTTATCACTTTTGTGAAATATTATTCTATTAGGATCATAGTACTATACAACTCATTCAATTTTGTCGGAAAAGAGATCCTGATCTACTATTGGATCATAGAAAGAGACTATGGAGAAGGGTCCAAAGTGGACCAACTTAATTAGGGCACACAATGTAATTTATTTGGCATGGTCGAAATGGACAATTTCAGATGAGTTTCTTGCAACAAAAGTGTCTGTATAAGTCCCCCACATCTAACCTCACTTTCTCTCTCTCACACACATTTTCTTCACTCTCTCACACTCATTTTCTTCAATGGCTTTCTTACTGATAGATAATCATGCTTGATTTTAGAATAATATATTTACAACAGTGAAGAAAGAAGTTTCGTGTATAGTGGGTTTTTCAACTGGGCCAAGTTTCGTAATTTTTTTCTTTTATGGATTTTCAAAGTAATTTTTTTTTATCTTATTACTTTTATCTATGTGATTTGAATTTTTGTGCAATGTTGAGATGTAGAACATACATTCTACCGACTTAAAATTTTTAGCATTTAATATGATTTATTTCATATTTAAAAATATATTGGTATATAAGCATGAATTGTTTAGTTCGGTTCGCAAGTTGGATTAAGTTTTTGGGTTAAAAATGAACTTAATTTTTTGGCCGAATTTTTGCACTTCTTTGATTCACACTTCTTAACAATGTAATTGACATCGAAGAAACAAAATAAAATGGTGAATGATAAAATAATCGAATTGAATGGTACCCACTTAATTATTTTGGTGAGAGGAAATTGAGGGAAAATAATTTGCTTTCTTATTTGATTGAACATAATTTTTTTTTTAAGACAGAAATAAGTGAGTCACTATGATGATTTGATTTATTTTTTCATGTTATTCAATGAGTATGGTTAGTTAGGGAATTATCAATATGACAGACTGCAATTGTTAGCATTTAAATTCATGAAGGTCCATTTCAGTTGCTTTTAATTTTCTTTTGGAATGTGAAATAAAAATTCTAATTTTAATTCTCATATATTTATTAGTTTAAGAAAATCATAAAGTACTCTTTCTTTTCGTGTCCCTTAAGACAAAATTAAATTATATTGATTTCAAAAATTTTATCTTTTCGTTTTTTTCGCCCTAGCCGCTCTGCTAGGGTTCGTGGCTCCGGGCGTCTTCGCCCGTTCGGCGAGAGCTTTCTCTCCGGTTTCCAGGGAAGTCTCTCTTTCTCTGCCTCTTTCTTTTAGCGTGGCTATTTTTTCTTTCTGGTTTTTTCGATTTTTTGGCCGGTTGGCGGTGAAGCTTCGGGACCCCTATTTTTTTGGTGGGGTTTCCCATCCGCGTTCTTTTATTGAAGCTCTTGCTGGTTCTAAACCTCCCTTTCCGGATTTGTGTGCTTCTACCTTTCGTGGATTACCGTCTTTATGGGTTTCCGACCAAGAAATCAAAGAGCTCGCTGCCCCTTTTCAGTTTTCCCTTGTTGGTTTCTTCCCTTCTAAAAGACCCTCTCTTGATTCTATCCTCAAAATTTTTTTCAATTTGAAGTTGAAAAGTGAGTTCTCTGTAACGGTTTTGGATTCTTCTCATATCCTGATAAAGCTTGCCAACGATCTTGACTATTGTAGGGTGTTCTGTCACCGCTCTTATCTAGTGTTTAATTGCTTTATGAAATTGACGAAGTGGTCGCCAACTCTGGATATTGCTGTTGAATCGCCTGTTATTCCAATCTGGGTTTCTTTTCCTCGGTTGCGCCCTCATTTTTTTTTTCACCTCGTATTTTGTTTGGACTTGGCGGTCTGTTTGGTAAGCCTCTGAAGATTGACGAAGCTACTGCTGTAGGTTCCCGCCCTTCCATTGCCCGTGTGTTAGTTGAACTTGATATAACTAAATCCTACCCTAAACAAGTTTGGTTAGGTTATGAATCATTAGGCTATACTCAAGAGGTTGTTTTTGATGAGTTTCCTTAATTCTGTGCCGGCTGTAAGTGTATCGGACATGTTAATGGTAATTGCAAACTTGTTCCTCCTGTGATTCAAAATTTTCCCAACCCTCCTTTAGCGCCTGTTAGTATAGTTGCTGAGGGTGTCTCTAAGACTTCTCTAGAGGGTGAGATGTTGAATAATGTTGTAATTCCTGAGAATGTTCATGCTGTTGAGCCGTCTGTTACCCCTGTTTGTGGGGTGGTATCTGTCGCGGTGGAGGTTTTTAATGATGCTGTGTGTCCTGCTGTGGGTGAGTGCTCTCCTAATACGAATGCTAAGGAGTTTACTGTTGTTCCTTTATCGGCAGAACCCATTTCTGTTCCTATTAATGTTGCACAAAATGATTTGAATGAGCATGTGTCTGATCTGGTGGAGTCAAATTTAACTACAGTGGATTCTGGTGGAATGGAGGCTGGCGGGACTACTGCTGGTTTATCCCCAAATGCTATTCCTTTCTTTCCTCCTACCATACCAATTCCGAGTATGAATCCTTTGTTGTTTCACTCGGATACCGTTAATGTTGCACCTTTGGTCACTGCTCGGGTTGATATTGTGGCTGTATGTAACCCGGTTATCAATGATTTAATTGAAATTCCTGTGAATTTAGTGTATTCGAATTTTATGGCAAATCAGGTTGGGGACTCGTCTGGTTTGGACATTATGAACCACTTTAATTGGTTGAATGAATCGTCGGATGGTGAATCTGTATCTGATTTTTCAGAAGTGGCAAATCAGGTTGGGGACTCGTCTGGTTTGGACATTATGAACCACTTTAATTGGTTGAATGAATCGTCGGATGGTGAATCTGTATCTGATTTTTCAGAAGGTGGCTTGGCTTCTCCCTTTTAAGGACCATGTAATCGCAATTTTGATATTAACACGTAGACCCCTATGAGGATTTTAATTAAAAAAAAAATGAATGATGATGTGTTTGACAAACAAGATGATTGGGAACTAAATCATGTACATGCTGGGTGAAATTTATGCTTAGATAAATATGAAGTCGTCAAAGAACTATTTTACTATGATGGATCATTTGGAAAAGTTTAGATCAGAAATTAACGTTTTGTTTGGAATAGCTTTTTTGTTGCTTCTTGAAACAATTTTTTCGTACAAAAATTTTAATTTTTGTACTAAAAAGCTGTTTTAAGAAGCAGTAAGAAAGCCGTCCCAAATGAAACCTAAAAGCTGGGAATAACTCTCGTAGTTTGAATTCATATTGTATGAAGTATTTTTGTATTAAAAGTATATTGTTGGTGTTGTAAATTTTTTTTTTTTTTGGCTTGTGTGAAGTGCTTCATTATGTTTATCACTTTTGCGAAATATTATTCTATTAGGATCATAGTACTATACAACTCATTCAATTTTGTCGGAAAAGAGATCCTCATCTACTATTGGATCATAGAAAGAGACTATGGAGAAGGGTCCAAAGTGGACCAACTTAATTAGGGCACACAATGTAATTTATTTGACATGGTCGAAATGGACAATTTCAGATGAGTTTCTTGCAACAAAAGTGTCTGTATAAGTCCCCCACATCTAACCTCACTTTCTCTCTCACACACACATTTTCTTCACTCTCTCACACACTCATTTTCTTCAATGGCTTTCTTACTGATAGATAATCATGCTTGATTTTAGAATAATATATTTACAACAATGAAGAAAGAAGTTTCGTGTATAGTGGGTTTTTCAACTGGGCCAAGCTCCGTAATTTTTTTCTTTTCTGGATTTTCAAAGTAATTTTTTTTTATCTTATTACTTTTATCTATGTGATTTGAATTTTTGTGCAACGTTGAGATGTAGAACATATATTCTACCGAGTTAAAATTTTTTGCATGTAATATGATTTATTTCATATTTAAAAATATATTGGTATATACGTATGAATTGTTTAGTTCGGTTCGTAAGTAGGATTAAGTTTTTGGGTTAAAAATGAACTTAATTATTTGGCCAAATTTTTGCACTTCTTTGATTCACACTTCTTAACAATGTAATTGACATCGAAGAAACAAAATAAAATGGTGAATGGTACCCACTTAATTATTTTGGTGAGAGGAAACTGAGGAAAAATAATTTGCTTTTCTTATTTGATTGAACATAATTTTTTTTTAAGACAGAAATAAGTGAATCACTATGATGATTTGATTTATTTTTTCATGTTATTCAATGAGTATGGTTAGTTAGGGAATTATCAATATGACAGACTGCAATTGTTAGCATTTAAATTCATGAAGGTCCATTTCAGTTGCTTTTAATTTTCTTTTGGAATGTGAAATAAAAAATATAATTTTAATTCTCATATATTTATTATTTTAAGAAAATCATAAAGTACTCTTTTTTTTTTCTGTGTCCCTCATGAGGGAAAAGTTATTCTGTGCAGATACCGCACGAACACCATCCAGAACAAATTAGAGCGAGTCACGTCATCCTTTTGATATGTACCACGGTGTGTATCACTGTATACCAAGTGACGTTGAGCGCTCTGATTTGCCTCCGAATGATTTGATGTCCGCACAAAATAATTTCTCCTTATGAGTTGTGTTTTGAGAATTAGCAAGTGAAAGTTTGGTGTGGTGGAGATGAGTGGGAGAAGTATATTTTGAAAATATAAAAAACACCAAAAGGTTTAGTACTTTTTCAAA